GAGGTGATCTGCATAGCAGGATGTCTGACGATTTTATGGTGCAACATTTATATACTCTTGATATCAGGACAGCAGTTTTAACTATAGCAATGCCTCATTAATTTTCATAATTTATGAGATATGCTGCACAAAACTGAACTTCATATTTGCAGTAAGATCATGGAGAAATTAAGAATATCATTACTTTGTAAGCACCATCATCCATCCATTTGCCCCTTCCCAACATCCAATCTCTTATATATGCATACTTACTTTCCCAAATAGGCAAATCTAATTGTATTCATTCCTTTGTAATATCCCATGAGACTGTGCAATATAGAGTTTACTTGGGCCTATGAAATCATGACATTTCAGACTAAACTCTACACTTTTTTTTTAATCTCTTCCTTTCTCTTTCAGTTATGGTTTTCTGCTTTTCCTCTTTTCCATGTCTTTCACTTCCCATAATCTAAGTCCCTCATAATCAACCAATTCCCTAGTCCTCTGTTTACCTACTCAATATGTTAAATTCTGTCTGTTCCCTTACGGATTCCACACCAGTGATGTCACTTCCGCTGTGGAAGGCAGAATTGTAAAATGATCCCCTATGCTCCTCATCCTTGTATAATCCTTTCCCTTGAGTTTATGGAACCTGATGGGATATAACTTTGGTGATTAGTTAGTTCACTTTGAGTTAATCAAAAGGAAATGATTTGGATGAGCCTAAACTAATTAAATGAGGCCATAAAAAAAACTGAATCCTTCTTAAACTTGAGAAATTCAAAATGTGAGAGGGATTTAACAGGAGGGAGAGTCTTTGTTGCTGGCTTTGAAAGTGGAGGAGGCTATGTGCCCATGGATGTAGGGAGCTTCTAGAAGCTAAGAGCAGTCTATGGCTGACAGCCAGCAAGGAAATGGGGACCTCAGTTCTAAATAACGCCGAGGAACCTGAATGAGCTTGCAAGAAGATTCTTCTCCACAGCCTCCAGAAAGAAATCTAGTCTGGTAGATAACGTTGGCTTTAGCCCTACAAGACTCTGAGCAAACGGCAGTCACAGTGCCTGGACTTCTGATCTACAGAACTGAAAGTTAATAAAAGGTGTTTGAAGCTGCTAAATCCGTAGTAATTTCTTACATAATATTAGAAAACTAACACACCTTCTATCGTGCACAAAGCTGTTTGATTATAAGTATTTCTTTTTGCCCCAAATCTTGAGTACTAATTACAGTAACTACAGCAACTTTTTATTTAGTACTTATGTCAGTCATATATTAGTTAGAATACTATTAAGGTTAAAGAACAATCTGTTTTATCTTAAACTACCCAAAATAATTTTAACAAGTTTTACTTATGATTTTTAAGTTAAATAATTCAACACCTCCATTCTTCTCAGTGCCTTAACTTTTCCTCAGCAGTAAGCATTCTATACAGAAACAGGTCCCTCTGGATACTACTATTTGATACTGCTGTTGGCTGTTATAATATATATATGAAACAATCACTACCTTTTCTATTCAGAGAATGTGGTACCAGCATAGCTCCTAAGAATACAAAAGGATCCATCAAGTTAGATGAATTCTTCCTAGAGACAAATTTTATCAAGAAAATAATGATCACTAACTATAAAAATTAAATTCATAAACTGTTTTCAAATATTTCTTCTAAAAATGAGTATCTCCTTACTCTTTAAATTTTACTTTCAATAATCTACATATTTCAGAGGTATTTATAGTAGTAGTTTATATCAACAGTTTTTCTCATTTTGGCAATAAATATTTTTAGTGAATTAATTTTTCCAGTCAGACTCATTAAAATGTAATATTTGCCCCAGTCTGTCCCAAAAAAAATGCCTTATATTCAAGGTACTCTTTACAAATATAGCAGCATTTACTCTTTCATATATAATCTAGAAAATGACATGGCTATTAAAAGATCTGAATTCTATTTTTACATCTTCAGTCAAAAAAGCATATGGCTAAAATATATATACTTAAGTTTGTGTTTACATCTTTTTTTTTCCTTTATAATTCACAATTCCAATAGACTATAATTAAACATAATTTAAAGACTGAAAATCTGGGCCTTATTTGTGGTAAAAAAAAAATTGCAAATTTTCTTTTAAGTTAAATTGCCGTTCCCCAAAAATTTACCCCAAAATGCAATGAGGTTTGCCACCAAACATATATGATTTGCACATGACTTTCAAAGTTTTATGTAAATCTCAAGGAACTAGGCCTATAATCAAAAGGAAAAAAAAAAAAAAAAGAAGCAACAAACATTAAGTTCTACCAAACTAAGATTCTGTATTTATGGTTCTATTGTTTTAAAAGTCATTTTGTTAAACATATAAATTTACTAGTATTTTAGGGATGAGACAAGTACACATTCTTGGCTATTTTATTGAGCATCTGTTTTTCCTATATCCAAACGACAGTATACTCAAAGTACCAATGAAATAACACGAACGTTTGTAGTCAAATCACTAAAATATTTATCGCGTTGTCCTTGCAATGTGTGCTGAAACAAGAATAAACCTTGTACATTGTAGACAATGGGTTTAGCATGAAAAATGAAAATATATGTAAACACTAAATGTTTAAAATTATAATTATACACAAATTCATATTACCCTGCCCAATCCCTCTTAAGGTAGAGAAGTATTGAAAACTAAAATGAAGTAAAAGTAGAAAAAAAAAAAGGAAGAGAGACTAATAATGTAAATACTGTAAAACTGTTGACTACATATGTACACATATAGTTTGATTATATAGAATCACTATATATCTGCATTTAATCAGTTTAGCATAAAAATCAAAGCAATTCCATAATGTTTACCATGTATTACATACTTTTTGGTCCTTTTAAAGAAATATTTACTATGAATGAAAGAAGTTGATAGTAGTAAGAGAATCATAAAAAGTAACTCAAACTATAATACTTCAAAATGCTATATTATTAATAAAGATAAAAAGGAATTTCTGGATAATATGTAACTCATGAAGAAAAGATAAATCATCCGTTTCTTTCTCCACGCTAATGTTTTAAGTTGACTTTAGCAGAAAAGAAACATAGAAATGAGAATTAGGTGAAGAGAAATAGGTCCGATCTTGGTTTAGTTTGGGAATTCTGGATTCTCTCGTTTCACATAGAACAGACTGTATCAACATGTCATCAGTAAACAGACAGGCTTCACGGATGTCCTGTGAGATTTTTGATGTATTCATTAACAAATGTGTTATTTTCAAGCTACGTAAAAAAACATTTCTTTACAAGTGAGTTGCATCTATTTGTCATCCGTACTGGATAAATACAAATATTCATTGGTCTTATTTGTGCTTGACTTTCTGTTATCTCACCTGCAAAAACCTTTCTTTATTCTAATCTCATTAGTCTGTTAATGCAGCTGTTTCTGTTTCTGCTTTCACTCTCATTAACTCTCAATTAACCAATTTGGCTTTTATCAATTGTTAGTTAAAATTACATGACACATATGTACAGTTTAACTGGCTCGATAAACTGGTACCTTTTTGCCTAGAAAATCTAGAGTAATTTCATCCTGATCTTATTTGATTCTGTAGAGAGAAGATATATTTAAGGTCCACAGAACAAAGACCTCTCTATCAATTCCAAACTATATAGAATTACTCCATTTGCATGCTTAATATTTTAAATTTGGCTATTAAT